AGCTCTGGTCCGCTGCGGAGCTCTGGTCCGCTGCGGAGCTCTGGTCCGCTGCGGAGCTCTGGTCCGCTGCGGAGCTCTGGTCCGCTGCGGAGCTCCGGCTCACTCCAAGCAATCCCGCCGCCGCCGCCGCCGCCACAAGAGAAGCGCTCAGCTTTCCAGCCGGAGCTCTACGTCGGCTGGCATCTTCCTCAGCGCTCGCACCGCACAGCTGGAGACCCGCGCTGGACCGCCGGCCCCGCGCGCCTTACTGTCTCGGCGCCGCGAGCAGAGGCAGGGGTCCGCACAGCTCCTCGTCGCAGCAAAAGCCCCGCCGACCTCGCGGCCGAACAATCAGCCGCTAGCCGCTCGCCGGTCGCCTCCCCAGGGTCTAGCCCCAGCCGGTCCCCTAGGCTCCGCCCCCGTCCGCGCGCCCTCACACACCCACTCGGCCGCCCGCTGGCCCACGTTGGATGCTTTGCAACAGCGGTGCACCCCGCCCCTTCACTTTGCTCATTGGCTGCCAGAGACCACAGAGGACGGCCATTGGAGAGTTTACCATGAGCCCGCCCCCATAGCCCAGCCGCCGCCCCGCCCCCTCCCCTTTCCCACCCAAGGTGTGAAAGGCGGGAGACTGGGAGGAGAAAGGGAGGGCCGGCCCCCGCTTTACGCTTTTTTTCTTTCGTTCTCTTTTTTATTTGAGAAGATGGAGGTCTGGCAGTGTCCCCCAGGCTGGGCTCGAACTCCTGCTGGGCTTTAGTAAGCCTCCTGCCTCAGCCTCCAGAGTAGACTTTCGGCGCCAGGCTAGTCCCGCACCTCTAAAAGTATACTACAGGTGATTGATAAGAGGAGGGGAACCCCGCCTGCAAAGAGGCGTGAAGATAAGTCTTGTAGGTCTAAGGGAGAAGATAAGTGGGTTAGGAAGGTAAGCCTCGGCTTTGGAACTGTCCGGCTCCAATATTTCTTCCCCCGCTCCCCAAGCTGCAAACAGGACCGCAAACTGTAAGAGCAAACACACCCATTTCCCAAGTGCCATCCAGGAACACAGACAAATTTAAAAGGGCACACGTGTCCTCCGTTATTTTATCAGGGTGGCTCCCTTCCTCCTGGCACACTCAGGAACTTTCTGCTCCTGACTTGTTTTTGACATCTTAAATCCAGCAGTATCCTCTTGATTAACAAAATCAATGTGTACTGGAAAAACCAAATCTCACAGTAAAAAGAAACAGTAATGAAACTTCTAACTTGGGCTCTTACAGATCGTAATAGTATAATTTGTATTAGTATTATATCATTTGTAATAACAGTCCATTGAAACAATAAATTGCACACACACACACACCCCTTGTGGGGGGGAAAAAAGGATTAGCATTGTAGTGTGCAGCTGCACCTCACTACTTTTTGGCTTTCCCAGTGTAGCATGCCCCTTCCCAAGAGTATGCAGCTTTCTAACATAACTGTACACATTGTCAGGAAAATATTTGCTTCCGTCTATTAAGTCTGACTTATGTTTTATGGAAACAGAGAGGAGGAAATGCTCTTTGGGAAGCAGAAGCAAAAACAACAATAAAAAAAGTTAAAGGGTTTTGTTCTGTATTTGACACTAAGGGGTGTGCTTTAACTGAGATGTACTACATGTGTTCAGTTTTCTCTCAGCCATAAGGTCAAACATCTCTGTCTTTAACTCCTGAGTTTCATAGTCAAGGGATGGCTGTTACCTTTCTTATCCTTTCTTCACTGGCTTTCTTCTCCTTCCCTTTCTTCTGATTCATAATGCTGCCAGATAATGTTTCATTTCTTTTTCACCTTTTTTTTTTTGCATGATCTCATCAGTGATGTCCACAGGAGTGCTCAAGTATGTGTGTAAATCGATCTAAATAAGATTCCCAAGAAACATTATTGGAAAAATGTACCTGACCTACTCTACCAAGTTCTTGAACTGTGTTTTATGTTTTAACAATCCACATAAACATTACCTTCCATCTGGACAAGAAAAAATATGTCTCTTTGGATTCATACCTTTTGATGAAAATAATAATAAGCTGGGAGAATGGAATATAAAGGACCCAAATTAATAAAGTCCTCGGTGTTGCTAAGTTTTCTCAAGACCAAAGAACCCAAAAGAGTAATTTAACATAGAATATTCATGACCGTCTTCTTAAAGAGAACTGTTAGATCATCCTCTCACCCCCAAAATAAAACAGCATATGCAACAGAAAGTAATTGAAAGGATTAAACTTCTTGAAATGCTGACCTAAACTTTTCTTTCAGGTTGGTCCCATTAATGAGTATTATAAAATGTTTTTCAAATACTTATTGGTGTACCTGTGAGATGCTCTTTGGGGATCACAGAATTTTAGAGAATAAGATTTGGGAGGATCTGCAAGGTAATTTGCCCATGAACCTAAAACATCCCCTGTGGACTGGTTACCATGTAGCCAGAGAAAAGGATTCCAAACTGAGGAACACTTGGGGGGACGGGCTCCTGAGCCTTGGCAGTTCCTCTGTCTACAGCAAAGCATGAAGTCATGTCTGCTCCTCATACCATGAACGGAAGTTTGCCCACATACTAGCAACCTGCTTGTGATTGCAGTGAAACTATGGGCTTAAAGAGCCATGATATCTAGCTCAGGGAAGAATAATCTGTGGCCACACCCTAAAATCAGGGAGATGACAGCACCAAAACCAGTTTCTAAGGGGCTCTGTGTCCCTGCTTACAAAAGGGCAAATTTTGGCCCTTTAGGCAGAGAGTAACAGTTGATTTGGTTATTCTGGATCCTCATTTCTTCCACAGCAACTTATTCATTTGAATGGGTCATCCAGGCATTTTAGATTTTCCAGTTTGTTTTAATCTACCACAGACTAAATATGATGGGAGGATCAAATCCCCATTGAGAATCACTGCAGGTCTCTCTTGAACACAGAAGCCCTAACAGTTAATCATCCTAAACCCACTGCTGGAGAGAGAAACCCCAGATCACCAAGAATTGGAGAAAGAAGTAAATGACAGGAAGAAAGTAGGTCAATCATGGGGGATTTTTGTAAAACATAACTTCCAGGTAAATAAATTGTGGCAGTTTGCTAGAGTTCTAGGTGGAGATTATTGATGGTTTTTAAAGAATGCTGACATTCACAGATGCTTTCTTAGTGTTGGAAGAGATTCTTCATTATGTTCAGTACATTAAAAGAGCGCTTGGAGGCAAGGGGGGATGACTGGTCTTGGGTTTGCCCCACAAAAGAAGAAGGAAAAAGAAAAAAGCAGAGCAGTCTTCAGAACACCTGGGTTCCAAGCAGGCCTTATTACCGTAAAACCTTCTTCTAGTCATCTCCTCTCTTTAAGACTAAGTTTTTTCAAATGGTTGCTAAGAAAGCTACGAAAGGATCCACTTTAATAAAGGACACAGAGATGCTATGAATTGTATAGGGCTACATGCATCTAAAGTTTAGTTTTAAATTGTTACTGAACTGTCCAATTCTGAAAAACTGAGAATCCATATATCTCTTTAGAGATGGAAAATCTTAGTAAGTTCTTTCACCACAGAAGTTTCTTTCCCAGGAATGCTGCAAAGGCTTAATAATTACCTGTAAACGCGCTGAAGACTTGCAGGGTGATGACAACCCTGCTTTGAGCCTGTGTTGTATCTCTCTTCCAAAGAAAATAAAACTGTGTACTCATTAACTCCTTCCTCACAGTAATCTTGTCAGTGAGAAGGATTGGGGGAGAAGGGAGAAGAGGAAGCTAATGAGTCTGAGGATGAAATATAAGAAGAAAGAATTCTGAGATTGCCCTGCCTTCCATTGCAACATTTGCCTTTGGTGGTGGTGGATAGATACGTGTTTTCTTGTGCAATCCCTGGCTCTTGGAATATTGGTTAATGCCCACAGAGCACCAAGCTACAGCAGCTGGGGATTTGCAGCAAGACTGGCTGATAGCTGCAGCTCAGCTGTGATCCTTCATAGCCCAAGTCTAAGAGCATCTACCAGGGCCAAAACCTGTAGAGTCCACAGTCTAAAGCAAACTACAACCTATTTGCTTGTCATTGCCTTGTGAATTTGTAATTTTAACTGCTTCACTGGAAGGATAAAAAAAATCACCAAAATCTATGAGCATTTCAAAATTCTGAGATTCTGGAGTGACACTCAGTGTAAGAGGCACCCCTTAGGTCTGACAACAATAATGATGGAATGGCCTAATCATATCCCCACAGACTATCTCTCACCTCCAATCTGCTAACTTTCTAAATGTCACTTGGAGAAGCACATGAAAAATTGGAGGTGGGGGAAGACAAAGGTTATGCCTTACTACCAGCAACTCAGAAGTAACATTTGATTGACTAAGAACAGCGTATTTATTATAACTTATAGTACTTATCTTCATGAAGTAGCACACCTTTTATTTCTGAAAGCAATGTCACATCGCAACAATGGCTACCATTTATTGGATACTTATTATGTGTTGGTCACTTTGCTGAGTGCTTTATACTCTTTCTTCATTGAGGTGGAAGTCAAAAAAAATGCTCAAGGTCACACAAGTTAATAAGTGACAAGATCAAGATTCCTTACCAGTTCTGTGGACACCAAAGGAGAATTATGACATTTGAGGCTCAAAAACTTTGGATTTGGGGAGTATTTCTTAATGGTGTTTGTCTGTTT